TTGGAAGTGATCACCAATTTATTTTATGGCTGGTATTCAGCGTGTACCCTTTTCTAACTAAGCTAAATCTTCCACCGCTAACCTGTCAGAAATTGTAAACATTTAAAACAATAGTCCTACCTAAGAATAGACTACCATGACTTCTAATTTAACTTCCACCATCCTGTCCAATCAGTGTTCCCTGTCCAGTGAGAATTGCTCTCACCGGACAGGGAAATGGCAGGTTAGGATTTGGACTTTTACTTATGATTATAATGACAGACAGGTTCATATGGCAAGTTGATATGGTATGTGGCAAACAATGTGGATCCCATTGCAGTGACTGTTCTGCTATACTCGCCCCTGTGTGATGAGAGATGATGCTTATATACATTTCTGCCTGCTTTTCCCTAACCAGCCCTTCTTTGTGAATTGTAATCCTCCAATTTTCAATTCTACTAACAGCCTGCAGTGTTATATGGCAACAGGGTTCACCTCTCCTATTATGCTGTGGACCCTAGGAGCTAAACAGTGCTGTAACAGCAGGAGTTTGTGACATTCCTAAAAGACCCAAGAATACCAATGACAGAATCTGTGCAGATTCTATTCTGCTATATTTGCTTTCTACCCTGATATTTCACATGTAGGGGTAAGGCTTAACCATCCCATGTTTTATAATAATATGTTAGAAGGCATGTCCTTTGGCTTTCTGAGTAAAGGCTGTTGCTGGGAGTGTTGAATCTAGTGGTTCACTTTATCTAATGACACATAAATGCTAGTAAAGAAAAAAAGAAAAACACTACAAAACGCTCAACACAATAAATCCCATTGTTTTCTGTGGCCCCTGTTCACACCCGAGCATTCTGTTGCTTGTAGCAAAACGCCTCTAGCTCAAAAAAGTACCTGTGCTTCCTTTCAGGCAGATTTAAGCGTTTTTGTCCCCATAGGATGCAATAGAAGTCTATGGGGACGCACATCACAGGTTTTTTCAAATGCTTTGTGGAGCATTTTTCAGGTGTATTTGCATGAGGCCTCAGATGCTACTGCTTTCCATTGGCCAAATAGTAAAATGTCTGAAGCGGAATGCCTGCAAAATGCTTCACAAACATGAATAAAAGTGAACGGGACCTCATTGTCCAATCATTGGCTGGGGCAGAAAGGTGATTAAAGTGACAATAAACTCAGGAGTTAAATCTTAAAAATGCATTCAAGTACCTTAACTATTAACAAAAATGTATCTTATTTGTGTATCACATTCGTGTAGATCTTCAAATCATTACTGAATTCATGCTGACAGTGCCCTTCCTTCTGGAGGGTGTCTACTTTTGTTCCCCATTATCTCTATGTGTTTTGTAAAATAGGCACTGCTCCAAGCTCACTCCCAGGATGGGCTAAATCTCGTGTTTAGTTTACTAATTTGTATGGAGATTATAGTCCATCATGGAAGTAAGCTTGGAGCGGTGGCACTTCACAACACACAGGGACCATGGAGAACAAAAGTAGCCACCCTCCAGAAGGAAGGACAGTGTCAGCACCAATTCAGAGATGATTTGAGGATCTACAGCTGAGTGATACACAAATAAGCTATATATTTGTTAATAGTTAAGGTAATTGAAAGCATTTTTAATAGGGATGCACCGATACCAAGTATCGTACTCGGTACAAGTACAGATACTTTGAGCTCCAAGACTAGACTAGAGAAAAATTCAAAAGTTAGGAGGCAGCTGTCATTTGTAAGGAGCACACGGAGCTCCTGGGATTTGTACGTCTCTGTTTTAATGTATGACATTTTTTTTATAAATATAAATAAAGGGATGCACAAATACCATTTTTGCAAGTACAAGTACTGATACTTGTCCAAGTACTCACAGATACAAGTACTGATACATTTTTGTTTGTTGTCATGTGAACAAAACAATACAGACTAATGATTTCAGGACAGTGGTGGAGCGCCAGATGTCCCAGATACAATCACTGCAACCCTGGTAGTTCTCATGAAAATGCCAAGTATCGGCACTGGTATCTGAAAAGTATCGGTGCATGCCTAATTTTTAAGATTTAACTCCTGTTTTTAGTTTAGAGTGTACAAAAGTCCTCTTACTAAAGCCCAGTAAGTAGGTTTACTATGGAATTGCATGAGTGTGTTACTAAACTAAGATATCAGCCTCAAAACCTGAATGTTTTAGGGAACCTCACATCCTAACCATTGCCACAGGCTTAACAATAGAAAGGATAGCAATGTTTTTACCAAACAATACACCAAAAGGTGTAATGCTTAACTTCAGTAGCCTGGCTGTGCTGTCTGGCATGGTTGTTCTGAAGAAATGACAAACCCAATAAAAAAAAGCTCCTTTATAGGCATTTTATCTGTGTATTTAGCCATTTGCCTTGAGTTCTGCTTTAACCAAGCTATATTATAAAAATATTTCCTGTTTTATAACAAATAACAGCACTGTGGCCCAAAATGTTTCTGTTTCTTCCTGTTCCTGTTTGAAACAGGCCATCTCAGAGCTGACACAACTGTTGATAAAGTTTTAAAAATGACCCTGAGAATCCCTTTCAGCTATTTCTGGAGGCAGCTTAGCTAGAACTCCGAAATGTTCTGCTGTTTGTGGTTGGAAATGTCAAATGTAATGGGACAGTTATTTCACTTATCTATCCCTGCAGTTCTGCCTATTAAAACTGTTTAGATGTTAGCCTGGAAGATAGTAACATACCATAGAGCCTTGAATCAAGTTAGTTAACTGCTTAAATACTTCTAGGGGAATTTATGAAAACTGGAGCAGACAGAATCTGGAGCAGTTGTCAGTAGCAACCAATCAGCTTCTCTCTTCAGTCAATTCAGTTAAGCTTTCAAAATGAAAGAGATAAGCTAACTGGTTGCCATGGGCAACTGCTCCAGATTCCTTCTGCTCCAGTTTTGATAAATTCCCCTCTGACTATTTATAGGTTTTTTAATAACTGTCTCTTGCATGTTTACAAGATCCACCATCCTTTGAAATCATTAACAGCCATCGTATAACTGTGCTTCCAGATAGTTAAACTGTGTTTAAAACCCAGCTCCAGCAAAAACATATTTTTGTTTTTCGTTACATTGGGGATCTCTGTTAGGTTTTATTGTGGTCTAATATGGGGTATTTTCACCACACTTTCTGTTCTGCTGAACCACAGGAAGTAAGGAGATCTTCCCAGTGGGGAACAGATACAACAATAAAATCCTATTAGAGGTTCCCACCCTTCCCGACTTTACTTTAAAACAATATTTTATACTGCCTGTTACCTTGCTGGGGAGATTGTACTCACATCCTGCCTTAGTGACCACACAGATAGTAGGGAAATATTTCCCCTATATTTTATACTCTGGATATATATACTTTTTTACTCGCAGCTTGAAAACCTCAAATATGTGGGTTAGTAAAGTTTTGTTTTTGGTAGCTGGAAAAGCTGGTTGTTGCTATCAACTTAAATCTGAAATCCTGTCATGTATTTGCACTGATAATTTGATGCAATATTATTTCTACAATATATAGTTGATAAGGAGTTTAGATGTGTAATATACTTGTAACGCATCTCCAGCGCTGCCAATAAAAGCTGCAGTACTAATCCCCTCTGTGTTTGTAAAGAAAATTAACATATATATTTTTATAACAAAAATGTTTTCTGCATGTAGGAGAGATCTGAATATGTGTTTATACTTCTTTGACTAGAGGAAAAGTGACTGAAATAGCATACATGTTTTTATTTTCTTAGTGTTTTCACTAATTTGTGGGATTATTATTAATCTCCGTTACAGTGCAAATGTTCAAAAAAAGTGTTTTAAAGACCTTGTTTGGCATTTTCTGTATCCGTTCTTATGCAGCCCATCTGTACTTGCTGTTCTTGTTCAGTTTGGGTCTCTAGCCCTTTCAGTCTTTTTCATTCCACCATTGCACCTTTGTTTAACCCTTTCACTCTTACCAGATGAATATAATGAAAGGGTTAAATGCTACAGTTTGCTTGTACAGGGTGAAGGTTTAAAAAATAACAAATTTGATGAAATATTGAAAACTTTCAAAGCACAGTAAAAAAACAGAACATTATACTTCATAATACTTATGAATATGTGCATATATATATATATATATATATATATATATATATACACATACATACACGCACACTGTACATGTATATGTACTTTTGTATGTTACATACGCTGCCATTTTGCCTTTGCACAGTGATGGTATACACGATGGTGATGCAGTATGTTATTCAATGTGGTTATATATTGTTATCACGTTCCCAGTAAATATGCTGCATAAATGTTTTAATAGTAATGTTTTAACATGGGTACCCACTATCATACGTTTCTTTTGTTTTGCAAGGCAATTTTTATGAATAATGTTTTTAATCCCCATACAAGCAAGACTGTTTTAGACAGAAGGCATCTTCCAAAATATAGAACCTCAAAATGTCATATGCTATCAAGTAACAATTACAGTATTTTAAGATCCCCAACATGTTTCGAAATTGTTATGTAAAATGTAAATATTATGCAGCAGTGGTTTTATATGTCAAGTGACATAATCTGGTTCTAGACGTTGGATATGACTTTTTCTTTCAGACAATCCCATAGGTCAATTAGAAGATTTGTCTAGAAGCAGTTGTATATAATTATGCAAGTGGCAACATTTTGAGGCTATTTTTGAAAGGATGCCCCCTGCCCTAACCATATGGATCTGTGTATCAGTCTTTGTTTAATTGCTTGTACAATTCATTTCACTGTCGGTCAAGTGGAGAACATACTTCCCTTGACTTCAAGTTTCTGAGATCGCCTTATGCCCTTTTCTGGCTATGGCTCTTACTTTAAACCCATGTCAATTGTAAAACTTGATTTGAGGTTGTGGCGTTTAAACATGTGAATACAAGTTGGTGATTGCTAGTGTATGACTTCAGCAGTTTCTTTGTGACACTTATTTCCATTTTTTACATGGTTACAGTACAGCCTAGAAACAGCTGGATTACTATTGAATTCCAAAACATTTTTTTAAATTATTGTTTAAATGTTGTGGTGCCTGTGTAGAAATGGAAAGACTAGTTTTGGAACTTAACTTAGAACCAAAAGAGGTCACTTGTTGATTAAAATGACAGCCAAAAGCTTGATACACAGATCCTGATTTCTGGACCACACTACTTTAACTTTCTGACCCTCTTTGTTCTATCCCTCTTTGTCTTTCTTCTCTTGCTCCATCCTGTTTCATACTGGGGTGGTCCTGCGGTTGGCTGTGTTGGTGTGCGCAGAGTCCTTATTATCTTTGGGTATACAGTTATGAACTTGGAGGAAGCTGTTATCGGAGTTATAAGTGGCCGTAGGGGTCCCAGCCGACTTGAGGGGGTCGCGGCTCAGCGTGTACATGGAGATCTCAGTGGAGGGAAGGGTGTTGAAGCCCTTAAGGCCCACAGGAGAGGCATCACGGGAGTGGGATGGCTCCGTAGACCGGGAACTGGAGCGGCTACGCCTCTGATAACGATAGCGATAGCTCGGAATGCGAGTGATTGCAGAGGACTGGAGGTAGTCCGTGGCCCGTGCTGTGGCCCTCAGTTGTTTGTGGCGGTCAATGAACATGTGAACAGCAAGCACTCCCACCATTTCAGCAATAATGAAGGAAAGGGCCCCAAAGTAAAAAGACCAGCCATATGAGTAGCTGTTTTTCTTTGAGTCGCTTTTGGAAGGATCACCCGCATTGGCTGATATGTAGACAATGATTCCAATGATGTTGCTCAGGCCTGTTAAATATACACAGGAGAAAGAACAAGAAAGGTTAAAACATCAGACTGTAAGGAAATGTCAACTGCAATTTAGAACTAGAACACATATGATATAATTTAAGGTATTCCCTGATGCTGCATGAAACGTCACTACAAGTGTGGTCCTATGCAAGTCTTCCCTCCCTCAAAACTGCTGCTAAAACTGCTCCTTCAAGCACTAGGCAATCAGTGTGTTCACTACCTTGGAGGGTAATTTGGGACTGGTGAGTGAGAGAAGTATGGGGCACATGTATAAAAGTCAAAGTATAGACACTCAACTAAATTCTAAGTTAAAATACATACACTTTTGCTGTATTACCTGTAATCTGATTTGCATTTTTTGGCCACTGGTTTACACTTATTGGCCATACTGTACAGCCACACCTCATTTTTAATTGGACAGAGGTGATGAAGCTGATTCATTGTACAAAGGGCAGGTAGAAGGTAACCGAGCTGCTAAACTATGAAAAAACTGCCTAGTGCAGCGTTATAGATGTATGAGAATCACAAGATTGGCCATACACAATTACAAACCCTTTGCAGATGAAATAGTAAACATATATTCATTTAAAACAAAAACTTATGGATTGCCTCAACACTGTCTATCTCTGTACTATCTCTCCCCTATAATACATTCAATACAACAAAAGGGGAGAAAAAGGGTTTATGGAGAGATAAATACAACCATTGCATATGTAAAAATTATATCTAAATTTATTAGACATACAGAAAATTGTGGATAAATAAGATAAAATTGGATCTCATAAAAATGTAACATTCAATACATATATGCCCATTCAGTACAGTCTCAGGCCAATAGCTTCTATGTTTATATATATAAACACATACAATAAAAGTGCATAATAATCCAAAATAAATATTCCAATTGCATAACTAACATGATTATCCCAATGGTCCTTAATGTTCAATATTCGAGTACATAACTGACATGATTGTCCTAATAGTCCCAACGCATTTCGCAATTATAGCTTCTTCAGGGGACCGGTAATCAGTAGTCATGCATAGGTAGTGCCTGAGGTAAAACCAATTGTGAGGAGGATCGAGATGATTAGGTGGCTGGAAAACAGCCAACTGCTACACTCCATTCTTCATTGTGCCTGGGACCCTTGGGCATCAGGGGGAGGAGTGCCTGGGACAAAATCACGAAGGCCCAGCCTACCCTGCTGGGATGTTTCTATAGAAGGCATACAGTAAGGAATGGCCTCAATCCAGTAACGTAGTTGTCACTCACTCAACCTATTGGGTAAAGAGGATAGGATATTTCTACAAATTGTAATCATGGGCCCAAATTCCTATATATCTCCACCTTCTAGCTTCTCATCTAAATATATTTTCATTATTATATAATTGAAAACGTACACATTTGCCTTTGGCAATTAGTGTGAGCCAGTCATTTAATGGGTCTGTTCCATTCAGAACATCCCTGAGTCTAGTCTATAGAGTGTGTTGACTTTCAACAGTAGTGTTAGTGCATGTGAATGAAATCATTTTGCTACAATTGGCTGTAACATAAAGTTGCAGTTCATAAGTGTATGTGTACAAATAACATCAGTGTTAGTGATAATAACCCTTAGTGAATTGCAATTGTAGCAAGAACTGTACATAATATCTGTGTGTAAAATGTTTATTCAAGTGATATAAAGTATAATTTAGTGTTTCAACTAACCAATATCCATATTGCGAGTGAATCATCCGCACCATTGAACAACAATGGTGACGTACTGTTGGTATAAGTGATTTTTATGTGTGTGTATATTGTGGCAGTGCATGGCAATACCACTGCGTTATCTCCATTCCTGTGTCCAGAATCTAAGTGGCCAGCGCATGCTGATGGCACAGGTGTGCACATCCTTTAAATTAAAGTTGTTGGGAAGGGTTCAAGACTCCACCTGGGAGACAGGAAGGCTCCACCCAGGAGTCAGAGTGGAGTCCAGTGCAGCAGGGTGCTGCAGATTGGGAAGAACCCCCAGTGTGCAGGTTAGCACATGACTGAGGCTGTCTGGACTGTATATGTGACAGGCTCCCCTCATTGCGAGGGAGATATGCATACCTTAGTCTTGATCAATATAGGGAAACCTAGTATAACCTCAGCTGATGGCTCCCACATTACCACCCCTCCCCTTATATATAGCCCCCACCGCTAAATGGAGATTAACCGGATATCAAAAAGTCCCGGTCACCATTCAGCGGTGTGGACTTCAAACTGCGCATGTGCCAACCCAGCACACACGCGCCTCTCAAGCCCCGCCTGCTGCTACCTAGGCATCCAGCCGTAGAGGGAATATCCCTCTTAAACAAAAAACCGTGTCTAATAAACTGTCCAATAAATTGCATAGCAAAACTGTCATATGTGCTTAATGATACTAGCTAAATTAATTTGCCATAGTCCTATTCACATTAGGCACAATGCATTATTTTTGGAAAATATTCAATGTTTTAGCAAGGTCAGTCTCATTTACGCTTAAACTATATAGCAATTTCAAAACATGTATCCAATCATTAAAAACGTAAACATCATCCTCAGGACAACTACGTTACTGGATTGAGGCCATTCCTTACTATATGCCTTCTATAGAAACATCCCAGCAGGGTACGATGGGCCTTCGTGATTTTATCCCAGGCACTCCTTCCCCTGATGATGCCCCGGGGTCCCAGGCACAACGAAGAATGGAGTGTAGTGGTTGGCTGTTTTCCAGCCACCTAATCATCTCGATCCGCCTCACAATTGGTTTTACCTCAGGCACTACCTATGCATGACTACTGATTACCGGTCCCCTGAAGAAGCTATAATTGCGAAATGCGTTGGGACTATTAGGACAATCATGTCAGTTATGTACTCGAATATTGATCATTAAGGACCATTGGGATAATCATGTTAGTTATGCAATTGGAATATTTATTTTGGATTATTATGCACTTTTATTGTATGTGTTTATATATATAAACATAGAAGCTATTGGCCTGAGACTGTACTGAATGGGCATATATTTATTGAATTTTACATTTTTATGAGATCCAATTTTATCTTATTTATCCACAATTTTCTGTATGTCTAATAAATTTAGATATAATTTTTACATATGCAATGGTTGTATTTATCTCTCCATAAACCCTTTTTCTCCCCTTTTGTTGTATTTAATATATTCATTTAAATTATGTATTTAGTTGTTTACTTGAAGTAGTACTTTAACTGGCATTACTACCTCCTTTTGGCAGGGACACCTGTTTGTTCAGTTACCTCTAATTTATGTTAAGATGTGTTAGACTTCTGCACCCACCACAGCTCTTCAGCAAAAAGAAAAAACTATTTATGGTAAAGGGGAAAGCACCGCATGGTTAACAGGAAGGATGACAAGGTCCCCAGCAAGCACGGGACCTCAGGCAGCCCTTGTTTAAAATTTTAGTGCCGGTGTTCTGTCGAGAACGCTGACCCAGTATCTGCGCTTAAGTACAGATGGGATTACCGAGGAAACCGGCATTTATTTACAAAGTATTTGTTTGTAATGGTTAATTGTGACCGTTAATAATATGCCGTCCATGGCAGTAAATGATGGATGGAATATTATTAACGGTCACAATTAAAGATTTAGACAAAATATTTTGTGAATAAATCCCTGTTTCCTCGATAATATTGGTCTGTGCGCAAGCGCAGATGCTGAGGTCTGCAAATTCGACTACGTCAGCGTTCTCGACAGAACACCGGTATCTGCATTTAGTATCGGGGCATTTTCACGAGTATGAGTACTTGTGAAAAGGCCCAGTATTAACACTGGTGTATCCCTACTTAAAAATATAATGCATTGCTGGGACTTGTAGTCCTACATAGTTGGTGCTATTCTGCATTGCTGTATAATCATCATACAGCAATGCAGAATACCACCAGCTATGCGGGACTACAAGTCCCAGCAATACATTATAATAAAAGTCAACTATGCAGAGTACCACCAGCATCCCCCCCCCACTATAATGCATTGCTGGGACTTGTAGTCCGACATAGTTGGTGCTCTTATGCATTGCTGTATAATCATCATACAGCAATGCAGAATACCACCAGCTATGCAGGATTACAAGTCCCAGCAATGCATTGTAATAAAAGTCAGCTATGCAGAATACCACCAGCATCCCCCCCGCCCCCCCTTCACTCTCCAGACTTACCTTCCCTCTCCTGCAGGGCCCTCTTCCGTGTCTAGGCGGCCAGGGGGCAGGGCTAAGCGGAGATGGTCCTCACACAGCAGAATATCCTGCCTGGCGGTGCCTGCAGCATATTCTACGGGACTAGTGTGACAGCCTCTCCAGCCCTGCCGCACAGCCGCCCGTACATGCTGCGGGTGGCAGAGCGGCAGTGGAATAAAGTATGGTACAGAACTGTGTAAGTGAAAGTGTGTATCCTACAATCCGGAACTTTCATATATAAATGCCTTTGGTGGGGTTACACCATGCGGGGGTTGGTTTTACAAGGTGACATAATGTCAGGCTCCATTCACACATAGCAGTAGCGTTTTCCGTGCAGTGTTTCATGTGGAAAACTACGCGGAAAGTAACCGCGCAAACGGTAACATTTATGCGGATTTCGCGTGTTTGCGTTTATTACTATAGCCAGAACGTGCAGAATCCACCCGTAAAATATTTTATCTTATTTATCCACAATTTTCTGTATGTCTAATAAATTTAGATATAATTTTTACATATGCAATGGTTGTATTTATCTCTCCATAAACCCTTTTTCTCCCCTTTTGTTGTATTTAATATATTCATTTAAATTATGTATTTAGTTGTTTACTTGAAGTAGTACTTTAACTGGCATTACTACCTCCTTTTGGCAGGGACACCTGTTTGTTCAGTTACCTCTAATTTATGTTAAGATGTGTTAGACTTCTGCACCCACCACAGCTCTTCAGCAAAAAGAAAAAACTATTTATGGTAAAGGGGAAAGCACCGCATGGTTAACAGGAAGGATGACAAGGTCCCCAGCAAGCACGGGACCTCAGGCAGCCCTTGTTTAAAATTTTAGTGCCGGTGTTCTGTCGAGAACGCTGACCCAGTATCTGCGCTTAAGTACAGATGGGATTACCGAGGAAACCGGCATTTATTTACAAAGTATTTGTTTGTAATGGTTAATTGTGACCGTTAATAATATGCCGTCCATGGCAGTAAATGATGGATGGAATATTATTAACGGTCACAATTAAAGATTTAGACAAAATATTTTGTGAATAAATCCCTGTTTCCTCGATAATATTGGTCTGTGCGCAAGCGCAGATGCTGAGGTCTGCAAATTCGACTACGTCAGCGTTCTCGACAGAACACCGGTATCTGCATTTAGTATCGGGGCATTTTCACGAGTATGAGTACTTGTGAAAAGGCCCAGTATTAACACTGGTGTATCCCTACTTAAAAATATAATGCATTGCTGGGACTTGTAGTCCTACATAGTTGGTGCTATTCTGCATTGCTGTATAATCATCATACAGCAATGCAGAATACCACCAGCTATGCGGGACTACAAGTCCCAGCAATACATTATAATAAAAGTCAACTATGCAGAGTACCACCAGCATCCCCCCCCCACTATAATGCATTGCTGGGACTTGTAGTCCGACATAGTTGGTGCTCTTATGCATTGCTGTATAATCATCATACAGCAATGCAGAATACCACCAGCTATGCAGGATTACAAGTCCCAGCAATGCATTGTAATAAAAGTCAGCTATGCAGAATACCACCAGCATCCCCCCCGCCCCCCCTTCACTCTCCAGACTTACCTTCCCTCTCCTGCAGGGCCCTCTTCCGTGTCTAGGCGGCCAGGGGGCAGGGCTAAGCGGAGATGGTCCTCACACAGCAGAATATCCTGCCTGGCGGTGCCTGCAGCATATTCTACGGGACTAGTGTGACAGCCTCTCCAGCCCTGCCGCACAGCCGCCCGTACATGCTGCGGGTGGCAGAGCGGCAGTGGAATAAAGTATGGTACAGAACTGTGTAAGTGAAAGTGTGTATCCTACAATCCGGAACTTTCATATATAAATGCCTTTGGTGGGGTTACACCATGCGGGGGTTGGTTTTACAAGGTGACATAATGTCAGGCTCCATTCACACATAGCAGTAGCGTTTTCCGTGCAGTGTTTCATGTGGAAAACTACGCGGAAAGTAACCGCGCAAACGGTAACATTTATGCGGATTTCGCGTGTTTGCGTTTATTACTATAGCCAGAACGTGCAGAATCCACCCGTAAAATCACGCTAGGACTATTTTGTGGGACGGTTGGTTTTGTACCATGCAGCCGCCCCAATAGTCTGTACAATGCACATTGCAATGCATTGGTTTTTATGTTTATGTTCGGGAATATACGGAAAATCGCTCATGTGTGAATGGAGCCTAAGAGTTGGGCTTACAGGGAGGGTTAGTGTGACGGGTGGATTTCACAAAGAGGGTGGATGAAAAAGTTGGAGTTACAGGGAGGGTTAGTGTGAGGGGTGGGTTTCACAAAGAGGGTTAATGTGAAGGTTGGAGTTACAGCGAGGGTTAGGGTGAGGGGTGGGTTTTACAAAGAGGGATAATTTGAGGATTGGATTTAAAAGGAGGGTTAGTGTGAAGGTTGGCATGACATGGAGGCTTAGCATTAGGGTTGTGGATGCAGGGTGGGTTAGTATGAGGGCTGATGGTTATTGTGGAGTGGCCTAGGGTAGGGTATCAGTTGAAAAGTACAAGTGCTGAGCTTCGGGCACAGAAACCTATTGTATATTTGATTTTGAATTGTGAATTTTGGGATGATGAGATTTTAGAAGTTTTCCAATTAAATCCTAAAACTCCTTTTAATATACAGTTTTGCAACCTAGGACTACTTTAAGACACATTTGTGCCCAAACAGTATTAACAGTACAGTATCAAAACAGAAAAGTATCTACTGTATATGAATAGTGATGTCTGTTACCTGCAGACACAAAGAAGATTCCAGCACTTAATATGATATTGTGTCGTGTTTTGTAGAACTCGCTGGCAGCGATGCAAAGCCCTCCCATGAAGAGCAGGATTACACTTAGGATAGGAAATATACTGGAAGCCCTCACAGCCCCTGTAAAAAAAAGTGTAAGAGTAGTGAAGATCATGTATTTATGTTTAGACTTCAAACCTTCTCACATTAACAGGGTTATGGCATCGCACTGCAAGGGTTAACTGCTCGTTTATGTCTAGGGGTATTGTGCAGAGGACTTTTCCGAACTTGATCCCTGCTCCCCTTGCAGTTGGCGCTTACCTCTCTCCCCTCCACTCTAGCACATACAGTGCCCCTCAGCAACCTTCACGCATAATGCAGGACTATAGGCACATGATGACATCAGCGGACCTCCCAGTGCCGAAGCAGAGAGTGGAAGATTCTGCGAGTGCTAGTCTTGAAGCCAGCAGGGATCAGGTAAGTAAAAACACAGGTTCCCTAGACAAAATGAGCCTTTAACCCCTGCAGGACAGGGGTAGCCCCACTGCAAGAGTTGTTTTTTAAAATCTGGAGATAGGCTTTAAATTGAGTTTATCGCTGTCCTCCAGACATGTAAAAAATACTATTTAATCTATTTAATCATACATTAACAATTATTACATTTTTTATTTTCTCCGTACAGCAGTATTCTGATTAGGATAAGGAGGGGCAGCATTCTACGTCAATTGGAACCCAGCTACTTTGCGCAGAGCTGTTTAAACATGTTCAAAGGATGGTAGAGCACATGGATTACCTATCAATGTATTGCTCCTCCTTCACTGTTAAATCACAGTCTGGGGGTGAGTCCTCGATTAGTTTGTATTGTTTAAAGCAACCCTTTCCTTTCCTGGTGTTTACAGAAATTATTGCCAAATATGAACTGTTTAGCGAACGAACATAATCAGCAATCAAAAGGTTTGCTCCAGTATGTCTCCAGAGACTAAAACATTTCATGATTGAATTACACCACGTTGCCTTTCGCGCTGCATAAAAAAAGTGAAGTCAGGCTGTCAGTCATAGCCATAGTGGTATCTTTGCCCTTTTGCCCTTTCTGTGATAGTAATGAGTTACTGCTCTCTGTGTACATCAGTGGTCAGCAGAGTAGTTGGGTTTATTTTTAAACGTGCAGGTGAACACACACAAAAAAAGTGCACTAGTGTGTGTGAAATGGTCCATTTCCCTGACCTCCTGGGGCACAAGCCTCCCAACAGGGGCAGAGCACTTTTGTCGACCTAGCCGAAGCCAGGCAGAGCCATTCCTCTAGGTCAGCCAAGGCCGACCTCGAGTCCTAGGTTGGGAACTCCCCCAAAGGGAAACCCGCAGTTCAGGGGAGGGAGGCAGGGACTTAATGGCCACACACCCTCCCCCTAGACTTTATGACAGGCCCAAAGACCCACACCCTCCATCCTAGTGGAGTGAAAAATACACACAGACAAGTGAGGAAAATAAATAAGTGCCAATGTGCAAGACAATAGCTATGATTTGCGGCCCGGTATAACAATCACCCATGGTCTTAGCCTAAAGGCCTAGCCCAAAAGAAGTAGTGCAGCAGCAGAGTAGTTAGCATACTTACCAACTGTCCTAATTTTACAGGTACAGTTATGCTTTTTTTTCAGCTCTCTTTCAAAGGCTGTATCACTCCCTCTGCCCCTGTTACAGTGTACCCATTGCTCATTCATATGCAAATATCAGCACGTTTTGCATATGAATGGATCACCACTGATTAAGCCACCTCTGATTACAATTCAGCATTGGGAGGAGGGGAGATGCATGATAGTGCTTCCTTAGGGGGATAAATAGGGTCCTGGTCTGGCACTGGAGAAGCGGAAGCAGTTAAAGAGGTAAGATGCTGCTCACCCACACTGTGCAACCACACTAGGTACAATATGCACCCGCACAGACACCTGGGCACTATAGGTCCTCTGTGGGGATAGACAAAGAGGGGCTACCCATTTTAGGATGGAGGTGGGGGGTTTATTACCCCACTTTCTTACACTAACTTTGGGACAGATTGTCTCCCACTGTAGTAACTCCCACTGATTGTCTCCCACTGACCAGCACTAAGAGGCACCATATAACTGACCACTGCACTCTGTACACAGGTATGTATCTGACCCCTATGTTGTATATCATACTCCTGATCCTACACCTTATACACTATGTTATAGTATGTTATACTCCTGACCCCTGCACTGTATACGCTATGCTGTACATTATTTTAGGCTGGGTGACAGAGTTCTAACTAGCTTTATTACACAGAATTTGTGCCACCTACAAAAACCTTCATCCCATTAGCAACCACAACAGGTGTCACAGTACTCAAACAGTGCTCCTGTTCATTCGTAAATTGTGGATACAGTATGAGTTACTATGTACACAATCATGAATGAATAGGAAGTGATGTAGATCACTTCCCATTCATTTATAACTGGTATATAGTAACTCATGCTATGTTCAGTTATTTACAAACATTCAGCGATCACTGATCGCTGAATGTTTGCATATCGTTCTCCGTCCTGACATGCTGTCACAGCTGAGCCAGCGGTGCGGGGAGGAGAGCTCAATCTATTTTGACAGATGACTCTTCCCTCTCACTGCCGGCTCGGGCTCCTGTGACAGCGCACGGCTGTCTCCACCCGCACACTGCTCTCCATTCTGACTGGTCAGAGGAGGCTGAGGGAGGGGGGGCGGGTGCGGGAGGATAGCCCGGCCTCCGGTGACACGCTTGGTGTTCACAGCGCTCTCCTCCCCCGGCCCCGCTTGATCTCTTCTGACAGTTTCTCTCCTCCCTCCTGGATGCTGCAATGTGTCAGGACACAGAGCAGCGCCCAGCGGGGTGGAGAAAAACTATGAAGGAAACTGCAATTGCGGCTGAAAGATGGCATTTTCAGCATTTTGCCAAAAGTGGCATTTTCGGCCAAAATGTTTTGGTGGCTGAAATTTCGGTGCATCCCTAGTTTGTAGTGTAATTGTTGTTGATCATTTATGAAGGAACAATACCTTCTTGGCGGTGTTTCTGTCCTTATTATACACCTTCCTGTATATGCAGTATTTTAAAATGAAATTGTATAATAGGTTAACGATATGCCTCTAGTAGATCCACGCCTATTTTAAACGAATACGCCACCCCTAATTACAGTCCATTCTCTGTCTACAATAGCTTGCTGGGCGCACAGCAAAAAAAGGCGTCCCTGGAAATGTTTTTGAAATATTAGGCAACTATGGGCTAGAGATGGAGATGACTTTTTATGTTGCCTTTCTGACAAAATCATCATTTAAATATCAGTAACAGTACAGCTCAGCATGCTTAGGCTGCACGCCTGGGGAAAAGAAAGACTTCATTTGAAACAGCTGATAAATTCAATTTTGATGGAAATGTTTAAATGTTCGGGGAATGGAAAGGTTTAACTTAACTGCAATGCATCCAGAATTGGCTGTGTTCTCCAACAGAAAAAACTGGCATTATGAAAGAAGAACTCCAGGAATTACAAAACTCCTACCCCCATACTGCAAGGGTTACCTGCTCATGTTGGACCGCTGATGTCATCACATCAAATGCAGGTCCACTGGCTTGCATTAGATGTGAGGACCCTGATGGACATTCCACAGCCGGAGCAGAGGGGGAGAGAGGTGAGGTGAGCTCTGACTGCAGTAGGACAGAGGATCAGGTGAGTATATTTCCTTAATTTGTGGGTAGCCCCGCTGCAAGGGTAAGTTTTATAAAATCCTGGAAACAGGCTGAACAGAATTACAAATCCTTCGGCAGTTAACAGTTCGACAGTGTGTTTAGCTGTTTGCCTAAAGTTTAGTTTTAAATATATTATCTGCAGTGTTTTATCATCTGTTTGCCTAAAACACAAAACACTTGCCTATAGTTAGAACAAGTGGCTTTAACAATACCGTAGCTGCAGTAATCTACTTCTCAACATGTGGTATGTGTAACCCCAGGGGATACTTCTATTAATTGGAGCAAATACATAGAAACATGAGCAAGTGATAGATTGCATATCACATCTTAGGGGGTTATTCACAAAGGAGCCGAAGGATCCAGCCGTAGCTTCAGCTGATCCTTCCACTCTCTTCAGCCGCCGGAGCACTTCGGTTCAAAAGCCGAAGGCGGCCGAACGGCTCAGCCGAGCCGAAGGCATATGCTTCGGCTCGACTGAGCTGCAATGACACCCGAAGCAGAGGCAAACAGCCTGCCGAAGGGCCGGCAGTAAGGCTCACGAATGACAGCCGGGCGCCCAGCCGCCCAGTTGTAATGACAGATCAGCGTCCCCAAATGACCTGGGGAGACTGATCTGTCATTAAACAATAACAACTGGACGGAAGCCGGCTGTGACGTCACGGCCGGCTACGTCCAGCTGTTATTCATTGGCCGGGACCTGCTAGAAGACTCTAACAAGTGCCGGCCAATAGGAAGCAGTTCGGCGGAGTCACTGCTAGCTCCGCCCAATTGTTTGGGTTTTTTATGTTTTAGAAAATCTTTATTTTTTTAAATGTAATATTTATTTACATTTTTTAAAATATTTATTCATCTTTTTTTTCTACTTCTTCCACTTTTTGCTATTCTGTTCAGTACCACGGAGGTACCGAGCCAAATAGCCGAGCCGAATGCCGCTCGGCGGGATTTGGCTATTCACTCACTGACATTCGGCCCCTATATGAATAGTGGCGAACAGCAGTAAGTGAGCTGCCGGAGCTTCGGCTCAGCTGATCCAGATGTACTGAGCCGTAGTGAATAGCCAAACGTTGTTCCGCTCACTTCACTATGGCTCCCTTCGGCAGCTTTGTAAATAACGCCCTTAGTATTTTTAGTTATTAAAAACAACAATGCAAGATTTTCTGGAAATACATTTATATATAAAGCACTGTATAAGTGTCAGACCAGTCTGCTTGGAGCTCACAGGGGTAAAGGCTCTTTTCTAAATGCAAGTATTGTAAGTACATGCATGGGACTTGATTCCCGCCTCTTGCCATCTTGCAGCACTTAGACTAGAAGAGAGGGGGGCAGGACTGGAATGTAATCAGATGTGTTGTATGCAAATATACTGATAAGAAACATGCTGATAGGAGGAGAGCAGAGTGAGAAGGAAGATGAT